ACCCCGACAAGGCGACCTGCCAAACGTTCTGGTGCTAAGTGCATCAAAAGAAAAGTTCCCAGGGCAATCCATTGCTACACCCTCCGCATACCCTGGAAACCATGGATTCCAGGCAGTAGCTGAACCCAGCTGCAAGGAGATTCAATCACCCTCATCAAATTATAGGATGAATCCCATTATGGAGTTTGTGTGAAAATTTCTGGTTTTTTGTTTATTTATTTAATTGTGGTAAAATACACATAATATAGAATTTACCATCTTAACTATTTTTTAAAAGGTTTTTTTTATTTATTTGACATAGAGAGAGAGAGCACAAGCAAGGAGAGTGGCAGGCAGAGGGAGAAGCAGGCTCTCCGCTGAGCATGGAGCCCAATGCAGGGCTCGATCCTGGCACTCCGGGATCATGACCTGAGCCGAAGGCAGATACTTAACCAACTGAGCCACCCAGGGGCCCCCATCCTAACTATTTTTAAGTGTGCAGGTTAGTATTGTTAAGTATACTCACATACTTGTGCAACCAATCTCCAAAACTTTTCATCCTGCAAAACTGAAACTTTACACCTATTAAATAACTCCTCATTTCCCTCTGCCCCAGCTTCTGATGACCTTCATTCTACCTTTTCTTTCTCTGAACTGGACTACTTTATATACCTCCTATAAGTGAAATCATACAATATTTGTCTTTTGGTGACTGCCTATTTTACTTAGCATAACATCTTCAAGGTTCATCCACGCTGTACCATGTGTCAGAATTTCTTTCCTCTTTAAGGCTAAATATTCCATTGTGTGTGAGAGAGAGAGAGTGTGTGTATGCATTCAGAAAATCTATTTCTGGGGGCGCCTGGGTGGCTCAGTCATTGGGCGTCTGCCTTCGGCTCAGGTCATGATCCTAGGGTCCTGGGATCAAGCCCCGCATCGAGCTCCCTGCTCCGCGGGAAGCCTGCTTCTCCCTCTCCTCTCCCCCTGCTTGTGTTCCCTCTCTCTCTGTGTCTCTCTGTCAGATAAGTAAATAAAATCTTTAAAAAAAAAAAAAAAGAAAATATGTTTCTGTATCTCAGGGGTGTGATGATGTTGCTCTGGTGACAGACAAGTTATGCAGTTCAATTTGTAATGGTCATGATTTTATACTGAGAAAGAAGGAGAAACAGAGAGAGCCTGGATTGTGTGATGTTTGTATTCAAGGAGAAGAAAAACAAGCTAACCAAAGCAGCAGTGGGGCTCAATGTCAGCATCGAGAAGCATCACCCCATTCCTCTCCAGCTCAAAAATAAGTTTTGTCCACCATATATTCCCAAGTTCTGGAACAGGTCTGAGCACAGAGTTGGCACTCATAAATTCATAAATATCTGACTGAATGAATCCAAAGAGTGATTGAACGCTCCAAGTCCAGCAGTTTGAATACCTCTGGATTGGAGAGAGAGGAGGGATAGAAAGGGAACTTTCTGTTTGAATTTCTATTAAAAGTATTTGAATTTCTATTAAAAGTGTTTGAATTTCTATTAAAAGTGTTTGAATTTCTATTAAAAGTGTTTGAGGGGCGCCTGGGTGGCTCAGTCATTAAGCGTCTGCCTTTGGCTCAGGTCATGAACCCAGTGTCCTGGGATCGAGCCCCGCATCGGGCTCCCCGCTCAGCGGAAAGCCTGCTTCTCCCTCTCCCACTCCCCACTGCTTGTGTTCCCTCTCTTGCTGTGTCTCTCTCTGTCAAATAAATAAATAAAATCTTAAAAAAAATGAGTGAATCTAATTGAACATAATAAAAAAATTAAATGATTTACCACAAGAAATTATTTTTGCACTGTTAGTGGAATTTTTTTAAGGGAAAAAAGTCTGAGAAGATAATCTGTCATAACAATACATCAATTCAATGTACCTCATGCATACCCTTTCTCAGAGAGCTACGGGAAAAAGTGCTCCACTAAAATGATGGAAAAAAATCACAAAGACATGGGATATAAGAAACAGGAACCAGCATAACAGAGGAAAAGGGAATCCCCGTGACGATGCTGAAGACAGAGCCGAAAGTAACAGCTGTGCATCCAACATCAAGACTGGAAAGGTCTGGAGAGGCAAAGCAGGTCAGAAAGCTGTACTCAAGATAAAATTGGTTAAAATAGGTATTACACAGGATCATCTTGAGAGAAGATTTAGGCAACTGGCAAAGAACTTGTTAATTAAATTAGTGAAAAATCCACAGAAAATTCTGGAAACACACACACACAGAAAGACAACTCTGGGGGATCACAAAAGTTAGAAAGGGGGAGTAACCATATACTACATAACTCAGCTTTTAATAGTGTGTGAGTGTGTGTGTGTGTAGGAAGGCATAGTACTGTTGAGCGGACTAAATATTAACCTAACTAAAAACTATGGATAGCTATATTCTGTAGATGTTAGGAACAGGAAAGACCATGTGAATGGTAGATGCAGGAACGCAAAAGAAATCTAAATCCTTACACTCCATCTGGAAAGTCATTTCCAGTGACTACACATGAAAAATCATGAAGGAGCCACATAAGTATTATTTAGAGGCATGAATAAGTATCAACAAGCTAAAAGAGATGAACATGATTGCTCTTTCAGAAAAGCAGGAAATGATGGAGGGTTCTGCTGTTTTAAGCAACAAACCTTATGGAATTATTTGACTCTGAACTATGTGTATATACAACTTCAATAAAACTAAGAAATCAAAAAGAAAAAAAGCACAACTGAGACCCACTTTGGAAGCAAACTGATTTTTTTTTAAATAGGAAATAGTTGCCATGTAGATTTCTGATGGGACACGAAGAAATAACTGAGTTATAGGGAGGATGGACATTTGGGAGTTTCAACACTGGACGAGTCTACCTACAGAAGTGTAATAAAGTCACTCTAAGACTGTTTGGCTCTTCACCCTATCCTGAACGCCCATGATCAAAAAAATCCAGTGAGAAAGAAAAAGCAGCAAGATATATTTCAGGTCCAATATTTACCAAGCCCTTGATAGTTCTGGAATAGATGTCCTGCCAAAAACATGAGCCATGATAGAAAATTGTAAAGAGTCAAAATAAGACCCAACTTTGTGGCAAATCACCAGTGTGCTATATGGGTCTTTTCCTTCTCCTCCAGGGTACAATCAATTCAAAGTGCTATTCACACCCTTGTCCATCAAGGCAAACTTAACACTAGAGTACTAGTCCCTAATTTTGGCCCTAAAAAGGAGGCTCATGCTGAGCCCCATCTCGAATGATTTATAATCCCTGGAAGATAGGGGCTGGTGGGGGAAGGGAGATAAGAAACGTCCAGACTCTTACAGCCAAACCCAGGTGTCAGTCTAACCAGAATATTTAATGCTTTACCAGTTCTGGTGGAATCCAAAGCAGATGAAAAATTCACATCAAAATTTGTACACCAGGGGAAAGAAACTGAAGAACGCCACCCTCACTTTGTCAATTAGGTGTGACCCACCTTCTCCCTAGGAACAAATGATCAAAATGCTATGTGCGGATACAACACTCTCATTCTTTTTTTTTTTTTTTTAAAGATTTTATTTATTTATTTGACAGAGAGAGACACAGCGAGAGAGAGAGCACAAGCAGGGGGAGTGGGAGAGGGAGAAGCAGGCTTCCTGCCGAGCAGGGAGCCTGATGCGAGGCTCGATCCCAGGACCCTGGGATCATGACCTCAGCTGAAGGCAGACGCCCAACGACTGAGCCACCCAGGCACCCCCAACACTCTCATTCTTAGTGGTTTAAAGCACCTGCCCTGGGTCCAAATCTCTATTTTCCTCCTTCAGCTTCATTTTCCTCACCTGTAAACCAGTGTGGTGGGCTGAAGGGAGGGGTGATGATAGACTTCACTGGGTTATTGCCAAGATGAGGTGATAACAATCACAAACTTTTGCACCCCGCTAAGTATGTTAGGCATTATTTTCTAAGTGCCCAGCATATACAGCATCTGATTTAATCTTCAAATTGTATTATTATCCCCCTTCCAGATGAAGAAGAGCACACAGATTAAGTAACTTGATCATAGTTAGTGGTGGAGCGGGTATGCTAATTCAGGTGATCTGGCTCCAAAGACAGTGCTCTTAACAACCAGTATGTACCGAAACACATGAAATACAATGCGCACAATAAATGTTACGTATTCACACACACAGCGTATGCCAGTCCAGACAAAGTAGGTAAGTGATAGCCAGTTTGAGGTTTGGTTGCCTTATGAGACCAAGGCATGACCAGGGTCTCCACTCCTCTCCCTAAGCCCCCAAGCTCACTTTTTTCCCAAGCGTCCCCAGCGGCTGGGGGCACCCTCCCTCTCCAAACCCCCAGAACTTTCTGTCGCGCTCCGGGCCACGAGTGGAGAGGAGCCGGTCCGCAGGTCCCGAGGCTGCGAGTCCCCGCGGCGCGAGGTAAGGGATGGGCGCCCGGGGGGCGGCGGGGAGTTTACCTTGACCTGCACTCTCATCGCTCCGGACTCCCGCGCCGAGCACACACGACCGCCTGGGCACTTCTCCCGCGGCCTCCGGGAACGGCGGCACCCGGCTCGTCCGAGTCCCCGCCGGCCAGACGTGCCCCTGGCCGCTCCGAGCGGAGCCTTCTCTCCTCCCTGCTCCCGGCTCACGCCACGTCCGGTCTCCTCTGCCGCGGGCCCCGAGCGGAACCCGGGAGCTACCTCCTCTGCAGGGACGTGTCCCCACCGCCCTGAGCTGAACCCCGCGCCCCGTTAGGTTTCCGCTCTGACCCCACCTCCGCGCTGGCCCCATTCCAGCTCCTGGAACGGGGACCGCGGGACCTGGCCTTTAGTGGGTGCCCTACGTTAGCCGAAACCTCAGAGATGATAATCAGCTTCAGGTGGGGACCCGAGGACTGGAAAGCAGGTGTTTCATAAGTCCTAGCTATTCTAGATCCTATTTAGATCCGTGCGCGACTGGCCCCACCCACAGCCGCCTGGGGCCCTGGGTGCAGATCAGGTAAATGGCCTACGGCCCTTTTGCCCCGACAGCCCTGGGCGGCCTTGCCTACCTGTAAGCGCTCCACAGCTGGTCGGGCTTTCATCCTTGACTCGCAGGCCCGCTCGCAAAGCCTTATCTGAGCTTCTGACTTGTGGAGTCACATCTGGGCTCCACCTCCCCACGCTGCCTTTTACGGCCCTGTAGATTTGTCAAGATACTTTTTCGCTTCATTTACCTCCTGTGTAGAAAGGAGGTGTATTTCTACCTTACCTAAACGAAAGTGAAGGCCAAATAGAATGTTCGGTAACAGACGTATTTGTGGTATCGTATTGTTCTTGTTGAGTCACTGTGGTAGGGGGAGGACATGAAAGAGTTAGCCTTATGCACCACTTTTACTATCTTGGAGTTACTGGGTATGTCAAGGGACCCCTCAGCGCCTGAGTTTACTTGTCTATGCGGTGGGAATGACACCGAATAAACCCACCTTCCTCAGAGGTTCTACTGAATAAAAGAAATCCATAAAGTACCATACAAATGCGTTCCTGATTTCTGTTATTTTCGGTGCGTTCTTCTAGCTAGGCAGTCTTGATGCAGGTGGGGTCCATGACTATGGGTGGATCCCAGTATGTTGGCAGATGATGCTCACTTGTAATTACAATGCTGCTTGTAATTAACTAGTGCTGTAATTAACGATGCTAGCCATTCATCCCTGATTATTGACTTAAGAGTAGGGGCACCTACCCTTTCAGTCCATTCTGAATTTCTGCCCAGTGAGCTCACATTGGCAGACATGGTTAACAGGTTGCCCCTCCCCCCATTTCTTTTTTTTTTTTCTGGGGTGTATATACATTGTTTATATACATAGTTCTTCCCCCTCCCCCCATTTCTTAGCGTGGTTTTAACGAACATATATTAGAAAACTTGAACACCTCATATGTGCTGTAACATTGTTTTCCTGTTAACACATTCACTCTTCCCTTGACCCATCTCCTTCAAAATGTTAATGATCTATAGGCAGTGAGCAGGTTCAGAAGCACCCCCTAAGGCAGGTAAGCACGTCTTGATTGGTGCTCCTCCATATATCTCCCCTGTTAGGTCTCTCACACCACTAGAAACTGGGAGCTCTCAGAAATCTGCAGACCCACCAAGAAGACTGGACATTTAAGACCCAAGATTCTTAAGATCTTGGTGCACTGTGTCACTGCTTCTAGTTTAATGTCTTTGGTAAATTTACATGTTAGTATGGTCACATGCTCTTTTCTGATCAAGCTGCAAGGCACAAAGTCTAAACTACGAGGGTCATTCCAGGGCTTATGGCATCTGATGTGCTCATTTACAAGCTGCCCTGGATTCCCTTGTATCAGAAGCACCTGAGGAATCTGTTAAAACTGCAGATTCCCAGGGCCCCACCCACTCCTCCCAGACCGTTGGTATTGGAATCTCTGGGGTGCGGCCCAAGAATCTGTATCTTTCACAGCGCCTCAATCGATTTAAAGGCTTATCTATAGAAGTCTTCTGGCCACAAATATACCTATGCCCCAAAACTAGCTCTGAAATCTAAACTTTAAAATGTTCATTAGTAGTCTACTCTGGCTTGACTCAGGCCAAAAAGTATTTCCTGAACACAGACTGTTTGTCAGGTATCCTGCTGGGTGCCGGGAAAACAAAGATGAATAAGACATTGTCCAGTCTGCAAGGAGTTTGAGTTTGTAGGAGGAAGAACAATCACAAATGAAACAGTACCTGGGGCACCATTGGTAACACTTGTTAATAGAAACAGTGCTATATTTTCTCATTTGTTTGCCCTCCCTTATCCCTTTTTTCCTCTTCCCATTCTTAACTCCTATGTCGACTTCTCTGTCAGACCTCCCTTCTTATCCTGGGCATTGTGTATGTTTGTTTCCAGACCCAACATGGTTTTAAGATACTGCTCCAACTTTTAAAGTCAATCTAATGATTTCAGAATGGAAAGGAATAGCTGATTTTTCAGCGGAGAAAAATGGGTATGACATTTTTTTTTTTTAATGTGTGAAGATCTTTTTTTTAATGTGTGAAGATGATGAGTCCCAGTAATTGGAGGCCACTTAGGGGTCGTTTCTAATATATGCATTCTTCTCCTGAAGAAAGTTGTTTCAGCTTGAACTTGGTCTTGATTGGGTTTACTTGGACAGCAGTGAGGGTTGTTGGGATTTTTGCACACTAATACCATCCTCTCTGGACAGTCTAGGAGGGAAAATGAGAAAAAAAAAATAGCTCTGTTCCTTTGCCCCGAGAAGAAAGAACACCATGGGGGAACTCTGGCCCCCCATGCATCAGGGCATATTACCACCTTTGGTTTGTGGTCCTCACTCTGGGTGGTCACCCCTTTCCTTCCTGAGGCATACAGGAAACAGAACAAATGCACTGGTATTCTGAAGGGGATAGTGGAAAGTATAGTAAGCTAGCGTGGGTTCCACCGTGGGGAAAGTTTAAAGGTATGGGTAATTAATTGAAGAAGTCAGATGAGGGTGTGTTGCCAGCAATGAGGGATGCAATTCAGCCCTCCCAGTCCATTCCTGTGTAACTGTTTCTGTTTTTAGACTTCCCTATTCAAACCCAAGGGGCTGGGTTTGAATTTCATGCATTTATTTTCCTCAACAGCTACAAATCAAATTTCCTTTTGAAAGGAAGCAATCTGTTTTCTTCTGCTTACTGAATACATTTCTCTCCTATTCAGTGCTTCTAAAGGGAATCTGCTCCCAATTTATTTCTCTATTTGCTATGAAAATGGATTTTTCCTCATGTTACATAAGCAAAGATTAAAATATTGATGGCTGGCAAGGTGGAGAAAAAGGAACTCTTTCTCTTTGGTGACAGTTTAAAATGATACCCTTTTATAATGTATTTTAACATTCCAGATTCAAGGCATGTCCTTCTTCGTCACAGTGCCAATCCTAGGACTTCATACATCAGAAATACACAAAGATATGTCTGTAAGGATATGTGTAGCAGCACTTTCTGTAATGAAGAAGGATCGCTACTAACCCACACAGCCATCAGTGAACGTCAACGGGCCGTGCAACACTGTGCAGCTTTCAGAAGAATGACTTAGATCTAAAGGTACAGATATGGAAAGGGAAAACAGCAACTAGTAAAAGCAAATATTTCATTTTTTAAGATTTATACGTGTAGGTTGGAATATTCACAGGAAAGTTCTAGAAGAATATATGCCAAACTGCTAACAAGGAAAGGCATACTTCTATTAAAAAATTATTCATTGCTTATCTGAAATTCCAATTTAACTGGACATCCTATCACACAAGGTTGTTACACAAGCCTACTTTGGTAGCTTCAGGCAGCTGGGGGGGGGGTTTAAAGTGTACATTACGGACAATGACACCAAACCTAAGCTCCACTAGGACGTATATTCACATTCAACTGTGAATGATTCTTGAAGGGAAGAAAAGAAGGGCCTTAAAACTGCTTGAGTGCCTGTAACAAATTGCCAGGCCCGCGGATAGATACCATCTTCTTCAGCTTCTTCAAAACACAGTTGATACTGTTCTTTGTTCAATGACCACAAACTCCTCCCATCCCAGCACACACCTCTTTGCAATGGGACTTTGCAACATCCCCCCTGCCCCATGAAGAGGTTCAGTCTCTTCTCCACAGCCCTAAATCTGCACTAGACTTGTGGCAAATAAAATATGGCCAAAGTGACACGGTTAAAGTTCCTGAGTCTAGGCCTCAAGTGGCCCTGCATTTTCGGTGTTCCCCTCATGTAACACTACCCTAGACCACCATCCTGGGAAGAAAGACCAACCCTCAGAAGTACACAGAGAACCCTCAGAATCATGTGGCATAATCAACCAATGTTATTTTAAGCTACTAAATGTGAGGGTTACTTGTTGTAAAGCAATACATAACTCAGTTTCTTTTCTCATTGTTTTCCTTAATTTTTGTCCACACAAAATCTCTGTGAGGATTCACTAAAGGTCAGAAATCTTCACTGTGAGTCTCAACAGTTTCTCAACTTGTAAGGTGTGAAGCCAATGAAAATTTGAACACAGGTCTGCGTGGCTGTAAAGGTCCATGGTTTTTTGTTTTATTTTGTTTTATTTTGTTTTTACACACACCTTGAACATAAGGAGCATTCATTAAAATTTAGTTGGGTAACTAACTGTATGAATCAGAAGTTGGTTTTTATTACTTGCATATATCAGACTTAAGAATATATCTATTTGACAGGAAATGTCTACCAGTACTAAAAATTTTAACCTTTAGTCCTTTTCTCTTGATTAAATTACTTGGGGGGGGGGGGCAGGGCAAAAACCACTATTCAACCGATTACGTTTTCCCTGAAAGGTGAACACAGTTGTTCATCCATGGAACGAGTACTTCAGTAGTTTAAAAAGCTTTGTTATTCCATTTTAGGTGAGAAAACTGAAAGACAGAAAAAATATATGGCTTAACTAGAAGAAACCAACTAATTAAACCCTCCATACCTGCCTCATTTATCCAGCACTGTTTTTGCTTTTAACTTATTTTTATTTATTTTTTTAAAAGATTTTATTTATTTATTTGACAGAGAGAGAGAGATAGCGAGAGCAGGAACACAAGCAGGGGGAGTAGGAGAGGGAGAAGAAGGCTTCCCGCCAAGCAGGGAGCCCGATACAGGGCTCGATCCCAGGACCCTGGGATCATGACCTGAGCCGAAGGCAGAGGCTTAACTGACTGAGCCACCCAGGCACCCCTCTTTTAACTTATTTTTAAATGAGTAGAACTTCACAGAAAGTTACAAAAATCATATATAGGATCCCTTGAACTAAAATGAGAGGCTTTTGAAAATATTTTAAATTGATAATATTTTAAGTATTCCTTCTGAAGTACTCTTTACATTATCAATGTGTGCCATGAATAAAGGAGGGAAGAAATTACTACTTATCAGGCACTCACTGTGAGCTGTTGAGATAGGACTTATTTTTTAAATTTTATTTATTTATTTATTTTCTTAGGGAGAGGAGGGGGGCAGGGGCAGAGGGAGAAGGAGAGAGAATCCCAAGCATGCTCCACACCCAGCACAGAGCCCATTGCAGAGCTTGATCTCACAACCCTGAAATCATGACCTGAGCGAAAATCAAGAGTCAGACTGTTAAGAGACTGAGCCAC